CAACTTTTCCCACCTCTGTAACCAGTATAAAAATTTTTGTAGAAAACTTATATGACAGAATTTTTGGTTATAGGTTTTTGAAATGGATTTCAAAGACTTGGACCTTTTAAAGGGGTTTTCACAATTACAATATCCCACCACCTGCAAATTACCTCAGTGAAATTTGCAGTAGTTTCCCAGTTATCAAAATGTTTCACACGTCCCAGTTCCCTCAGCTGTGTAGCTGCTTGGAGTGAAAATGTGCAACTTCACATTTTGGCATTCAGTATCAGAAGGATACAAAGATTTCAATGGCAAATTAATTCCATATTTTATAAGATTTAGCTTTTCATTTGAATGCAGCTGTTTTAAAGCTGAAAAGGAAGCAATCTGTGGAACTGTAGATGTATAATCAAAATCAGGAACCCTTATAGTTTGTTCTGTATCCAGGAGCACAACACTTAGGCTACGGTTACTGTGGATGCGAATTCTGATGAAATCTTGTTCTGACAAGTTCATCCGAACAAACAAATACCTGTTTTCTAATGAGAGTGTTTAATTTGGCAGTGAAAGGCATGTCAGAACATGCACGATGTAGTCAGAACTGTTCGAGTGTTCAAACGAGTTTGATTTTTTCGTGCATTCTGACGTTGAATTTTGAGTGTTTTGGTTTTTTCAACATTGATATTGATAAATTGATTAGTCTTGTGTTTGAGAATAGGTGTTTGTGGGACATGAAAGACAAAAACTATCACAACAGAGATATTTCTTGGCAGAGATAGCTCTCATTCTGAAATACTCGAAAAACTTTTGCAGGTTGTTCCACAAATCTTGATATAACATTTGGAACTCTCCCTTATTGTCTCTTATGGAAATTAAGTGGTTAACATGCTCTGTTTTCCCACCACCTAGCAACAATAACTTAATCAACGGACTTTCAAGAAAATAAAACTCATCAAGTTTGTCCATTTTGCTGGGAGGCAGAAACATACTGTCAGAGAACATGCACAGTGTACTGACCTTGTTCTGACAAAAATTTTGGACATACTCATCAGAACACGATTTCGTCAGAATTCTTATCCACAGTAACCGTAACCTTATGTGGCATTGTGGCTACTGAAACACAGCAAATCAACACTGAAGATAAACTCATAACACAGACAAACTCATCTTCCATGTGTAACATGATGTACAAAATGGCCTACTTATGATTGTACAATACTCCTTCCAGTTTGCTGTCGACAGGCCTTGAGTTATAGGTGGCATTGATTTAATCCAACTGTATGTGGACTTGCAGCCTTGAATTTTGATTGAGCTGAAATAAAAGGCTTTCAGTTAGCCTAACTAGTGACAGTCACCTCTTGGAAAGGATAGGTTAGGTTTTTTGGAGAAGCTGTGAAAGCGGAGCATAGTACTATTAGACTGCAAGCGATAGCCAGTGTGTCGGCGGCTGAGGGGCCATAGGCCCCGAGATTGAGGAGCCAGGGGCATGCAAAAAAACCTAACTTCAACTGCAGATGATCAATGTGCCCATGGATCGACATATGCCTCGGTAGAAGGTGAGTGTACAATCTGTTTTCTTGGCTTTGTTAATCTTTATGTATGTGCCCAGTAAGTAGCAAGTTTTGTTTTAAAAATGTTTGTTTAAAATAAAATTTTTTAAATAGGCATGTATCAGTAATTTCCAATGGTCGCCATATTGTTTGCGCACATACGCACTTCCAGTCACCATCTTGGTTGCAATGTGCAATTACTGATACACGCCTATTTAAAAATTTTATTTTAAACAAACATTTTTAAAACAAAACTTACTACTTACTGGGCACATAGGTAAAGATTAACAAAGCCAAGAAAACAGATTGTACACTCACCTTCAACCGAGGCAGATGTCGATCCATGGGCACATTGATCATCTGCAGTTGAAGTTAGGTTTTTTTGCATGCCCCTGGCTCCTCAATCTTGGGGCCTATGACCCCTCAGCCGCCGACACACTGGCTATCGCTTGCAGTCGAATAGTACTATGCTCCGCTTTCACAGCTTCTCCAAAAAACCTAACCTATCCTTTCCTTACTGTAATTAGAAATGACGTATTATTAATATTATTATTGACTATATGAAACAACAAATGTAAAACCACTCACTAATGACAATAATTATATCATAATATATAAATTAATCAGATGCAACATAAGAAATCTAACGTCTTGATGTAAATAAATATTATACAATTTTGTTTACAACATGAAAGAGATTAGGCCATTTAAAAGCAGAGCAGAATTATTAGTTATTTATTGCATTATCATGTTATTACATGTTGATTTTAATCCATATTTAGAATGGAATGATGTTTTAATATTTCTATTAATGATGTCTCTAAAGTTCAGCGAATTCTTTGCAAAAAGAATGTTATGAAGAAACACATCAGAGATGAGTAACACTGTGAGAAGCATGTCACGTGACCAAATAGCACCGACAAATGTCACGTGACATGCTTCGTATGCATCCAGTGTGCTGCTCCACGACGAAAACAAGCTGAAGCAATGGCGTTTTCAAACGGTGCACACTCAGTAAATATTCCTACAATTTTTTTGTATGTAGCATATTTTATATGGATTATTCCCAAAAAATTATAAGTGTTTTGGAAATGTTTGAGTCAAATTAGTCTAGAATTGATTTAATTTTTATGGAAGAAAACCTTTCAAACAGCCTTAACCCCTAAATGGCAAAAGTGCCCATCAGTCAATGATTTTGTGCATGCTCACAATGGACTGATTCATAAACTATATGGAACAGAAAAGGCTTTACGGTAGTTTCTAACTATTGCTATAGACAAGGCCACTTGATCATTTCACTAGTAATGCGTCCACCAATTCTCTCTCTCTCTCTGAGACCAAGCGTATAAACACTAGTTAATATTTTCTCTGCTTGTGGTGCTGACGATCAGTGACCATCCATTGTCAATGTTTCAGTATAGAGGAGTTTGGAGATGTCGCTGCGTTTAAGTATTGTTCTCATTAATGCAGGTTGAAAACTTTTGATAATCAAGAAATGAGCTGCTGCAAATGATTTTCGTGAAAAAAGCGAAATAATAATAATAGTATTTTTCATGCCTTTATTTTCTTAAAATGATTTTAGGAAGAAATAATAACCGAGTATTATTGGCATGGAAAATACAAACTTTTTCACGCTAATATTATTTAACCATTTCTTTTCAATTATTAAAGTTACCAGTAGTTAATCGTTAATATAAATATTTTTTTTACTCAAAGTTCGCAAACTTAGCAAAACTAGATTACCTACAGTAAGCACTGTCTAGTATAAAAAATTTCACATTTTCAGACCATATATGATGATTATTGAAATGTTGTATATTAAATCTGTTATAAAATTATTACTTTTGTTAATCAAGACACTAAGAATAAATACTGATATAACATTTTTGCTTATTTTTTTAATTAGTAAAAAAAATTCGAAAAATATGCACAGAAAATATGGTGATATTGAAGGTAAGAACTTATAATTAATATTGGAGAAGTACACAGAAATGTGAACAAAATATTGCACATGCAATTATTGTGATTTGAATGTACACTGTCAGTGTTAGCAGTTAGCCTTACACCACAGTACTGAGCAGTTTTTCTAGTATGGCAAAATGACTTTACCAACTTAACTTTCAAACCAGCCTGATAAGGATTTGTGTATATCAGTACGTCATCAAAAAAATCTGTAAGAATTCTAATTACTCCCACCAATCCTGGTCTTGGATACTGAAGCTGTCCTCTATCCTGGTTTGATATTAAGCCAAAAAGAGCTCCATTAATAACTAAATTGTGTTAGGATTTTTAGACTCTATCAGAGGTAATAATTAATATCTGATATGGAGATAATTGATGTTTTAGTTTGGTAATCCCAATTTGACAAACAAGAAAAATCTCGCTTGGTTTTTTAAATAATCATAAAATATATCCATAAGTCTACTGAATAGCCTACAATTATTTAACTTAATTTTAATTAATTCACTTTCAACATGTATTGTGTATCTTAGCTGAAGATATAAAATTAAATAAGCCATTCATTTGATTTCAAACATACTTTAATACGTAAATGATCAGTTTTAAAAATTTGTTTATTTACATATATGTTTGTGATTTAACATTCTTTTTGAAGGTTCAAATGAAACAAAAAGTTTTTTTAATACCGGACTGTGCATGCATTAGTTTTCATTTTAGTAAATCATTTTAGTTTTCAAAGAATGTCTGTGTGATGTCTTACACAAACGTAGCTGACTAAATATTTGCTCAACAGATGCATCAGAAGCCGGTAATATCAATAAACGCAACAATTTTTCAAGATTTTGAAACACTCTCCAGCAGCATTTTTTAAATTAAATATTTCTGACAAGTAGGATCTGATAGTATCACTTTTTGACCCGAATTTAAGTAGGGCTTGTTTACGTCATTCATTGTCTTCAACTTTTAAATCAACCTTAACATTTTTAAACTTTTTAAACAATGGCTCCAAAAACCTCAATTATTGCAAATTTTCAGGTTCAAGCAAAAGCAGATATGAAAAATATCATTACTTAAATCAAATCTGCCATAGATTTCTTTTATAAGTGTACAATAAAAGCATCAGATTGCAGGGCAGTTTTATCCTAGATTTACCCTAAATATAGGACTACCCTAAACAGTACCCCGAGAGGTAGAAATTACCCTAGAAACAGCAGTACTGATTTGCATACAAAACGACAAATTTACTCAACACATGATTCTTGCCAATAACCAGTGCCAAAATCTTTCAGTGGCAAAAAATGAAAACAGTGTGAATACGGTGGACGGCCTTACTAGTGAAGCGATCAAGTGGCCTTGCTATACACTTTGTATAAATCTTTATTTCCAAAGACGACCTCAGCTCCGCAGAGCACCACTGAGGTTGACAGCAGAATGTTTACATGCATAATATAGATAGATATATTTTTTTTTAATCCAACTTTGAGAGATTCAGTTAGGCAGACAAACAAATAACAAAGAAATACTAAACCTTTATTGCCAATAATTCCATTCTCAAAAAATTCAAATAATCCAAATGCATTTTGCTTTTTTACAGTCAAGCCTCATCAGTGGCTACAATGAACTGCCGGTTGTTGATCTTTTTATGCTGGGTGATCTCTTCCCAGCATGCATCTACATTCATTCTGGTATTCAGATTTATAACATTTGCATATGCTGTAATACAAAAATGTTCAATGATTATTCTTTTTTAAACAGTTTTTTATTTTATATAATAATTTACAATCAAATTTGTTACAATGTAAATACCACGGCGATTCTTGTCTTTTTAACCTAATAGCAGCTTCATGTTCTTTTAACCATATTTCCAATTTCCTTCCTGTTTCTCCTATGTAATATTTCAGTCTTGGACAAGCACACGATATCTTGTAAACGATGCCTGTGATTTTAAGTTGGACCCATAGATTGAATACCACTGGTATACAGAATACAGATAAATTGATCAAACGATTGGTTTAAAGGTAGAATTAAACAAAATTTTTGTATTATGAGAGTATGTTAAATTGATGTATCCATCTATTACTTTAGAAATGATTAAAGAAACTATTAGTAAGTATAAGATGCCCGAACACTTATTGAATTTTATAGAATTTGTTTTTAAAAACAATTACTTTAAAATCTTTACAGGCTATTATCGCCAAAGGAAAGGAATCGCTATGGGATCAGTTGTTGGACCAAAATTGGCTGACATTTGCATGATAGCAATAGATGAAAGGATAACACGTATATGTAGACAATATGCTGATAATATATGATTCACAAATAATTTCACCTAAAGACATTGAGGAATATGCAAATAAGTTGGATAAGAATTTAAAATTTACAAGTGAGGAAGAACAAAAACCAAGAAATGAATTTTCTGGATGTTATTATAAAGAGACAATACAAAAAAATTTTGTTCCATAAGTATGAAAAACCATGCAGTACAAAGGAAACTATTAATTACAATTCATATTGCCCTGTAGAAACAAAGAAGAATGTATTTGTAATGGAATTAAAAAACACTAAATAGGGTGACGCTACAATAAGACATAGAAATAGACAAGACAGCTCTTCAAAAAATTTTTATTAAATAATTACCCAAAGAATACTGTATGTAAGTGGTATAACTGTTATATAAATCATAGATATAAAGTTAAGAATCAAACAACAGATAATTTATATGTTAAGTTTCCTTATATAAATAATTTATTTGAAAAGTAGGTTAGATTTACCTATGGTAATCAAAATGGTGGCACTTCCGGTCGCCATCTTGTTTGCACACGCATATGCAAACAAGATGGTCACCATCTTGTTTGCATATGTGCAAACAAGATGGTGACCATCGACAATAACCAAAACATGCCTATATTTAAACTTTTTTTTAAACTAAAACATTTTTAAAACATAAATTTGCTACTTACTTTTTCCCATGCTTTTGGTTTCATTTCCTACTTTTGGACCAGAGACGAAAAATAGTCACCATACTAACTGAAAACCATCGATAACTGGACATAGTGAATTACAAGATTGGATACATCAGTGGTTCGAACAGAATTTGCCTGGAGTGCAAGTGTAAGTTTAAGCCTATGGGGAACTGCCACCTCTCTTTGCTTGCCACTTTGGCTGCAAGAAGCAGAGTCTCTTCAGTGGGCGGTGCTTGCCCACCTTGTCATCACTGCATTGGCTGAGCAGCCTTGGGATACAATACAAACATCACTTAGGTTATGAACAGCAACGGATGAATCACTAACCTCCGGGAGGTCCATTGGAAGCACGAACAGTTGAATGCCATTTAGTGGAAAACTAAAATGGCGTAGAATGCATTGTGAAAGGCAAGTTTTAACCAACAGGTAAACAGTAAAAACCATTGGCCAAATTTTCCTACTCATTAACTTTGTACGATTTTTGTTTTTTTTTGTTTTTTTTTTTAACTTTAAAAAAGCACAAATGCCATTCGAAAAGATAATATGCACCATCCATCTACACCGTAATCGAACTCAAAATTTGCATAATTCCTCATATTTTTCGAGTGGAAATTTTTGAAGAAAATTTGCATACGAAACTGTCAGTATGATAAGCGCCATCTACATTTCATTTCTAAACGCACATGGTGTCAAGGTTACCAGAAGAGCCGCCATTTTGACTACTATAGGTAAATCTAACTGAAAAATATGAACTAGTTTTTAAGAAATTTTTTATGTGTATAGCAGCAAAACAAAAAAACATGATGATTAATGTAATTAATGTTATAAATAATGAAGATGCAAATTTATTTAAAAACCAACTTAAAATCGCAGGTATTGTTTACAAGATATCGTGTGCTTGTCCAAGACCGAAATATTACATAGGAGAAACAGGAAGGAAATTGGAAATACGGTTAAAAGAACATGAAGCTGCTATTAGGTTAAAAAGACAAGAATCGCCGTGGTATTTACATTGTAACAAATTTGATTGTAAATTATTATATAAAATAAAAAACTGTTTAAAAAAGAATAATCATTGAACATTTTTGTATTATAGCATATGTAAATGTAATAAATCTGAATACCAGAATGAATGTAGATGCATGCTGGGAAGAGATCACCCAGCATAAAAAGATCAACAACCGGCAGTTCATTGTAGCCAATGATGAGGCTTGACTGTAAAAAAGCAAAATGCATTTGGATTATTTGAATTTTTTGAGAATGGAATTATTGGCAATAAAGGTTTAGTATTTCTTTGTTATTTGTTTGTCTGCCTAACTGAATCTCTCAAAGTCGAATAAAAAAAAAAGTATATTTACTTGTTTTAGTCTAAAAATAATTGTCTTTATCTTTAGAATTTACAATTTTTTAAGAATATTACCAATCCCATTGTTTTAATTTTATGAGTTTGTTTCAGTTTTCTTTTTGTGAACGTTCTTGTAAATTATCGTCTAACATGGATCTAAACAATTGGAATCCGATGGAAGAAGATTATAATTCTCTTTCTTTTAATTCGTACGACAGAGGAAAAGGTCAGGGGATACCAATTGATCATCATCCATCGTGGAAAAATTCAGGACATTCTCGGACTATTACACTCTATGTAGGTAGAATACCTATACAAATTAATAAAAAAGGCATACAACTCCTGTTTTCGAAATATGGAAAAGTACTACGCTCCTATCTTTGTTATCCAAAACATTCAGAAATGAACACTGTTTATGGATTTGTAGACTATGCTACTCTGAAAGAAGCAGAAATGGCTATAAGAGAATTAGATGGCAAACCACCTCTTAATCTTCGAGTATCATTTTACAAGTCTTTTAAAGAAAGGCAGGAACAACAACTTATTAAAGAAAAAGAAATGAATGATTATTTAGAAAAATCTTTGTCAAAAACTGATAATCTTATGAAGAGTGGTGACGAAGTAGCCGTTGTGAACGAAGCCTTGAAAGTTAAAGGTATCGGACGTGGGAAAATTTTTCTGAAAAATACCACGTGTGGTAGTCTGCAAAATCTTCCAGGTTTCAAAATGACTAAAAGTAACAATAATTCAGAAGTAGAAAATCCAGATAATATGAAAGAAAGTAACTCTGTTTCTCCCAAAGCATCAAATAATAAAAAGTGTATATGAGCGTTGGTATCAAAGTTCAGCATCGCCAACTCAACGGATGTTAATACCCTTTGGAATGGTGTTCCGCAAATTCATTTTTTGTCTCCAAACTGAAAAAAAAATTGGGTTACCTTGCCTTGTGCTTAATTTACAAAAGATGTAAATGCCGTACTCCTAGAACCTATTTCCAGTGTGACGAAAAAACAAAAGAAAAAGTTCACTACAAACGTTTTCGAACTGCTGTGAGTTGCTGTGATTGATATTTTTTTTGTCACACCGGAAATAGGTTCTAGGAGTATGATTTTTTAACACATCCCGGTGTTAATGTGGTTGTTGATGTAAATGCCATTGACTGAGTTTATTGTGACTTAGGTACTGTATTACCTTCATTTTACAAAATAGAAAAAATTTTATCACTATTTCGTACTGATAAATAATATATCATTTTGATCCATCCCTATAAATTTTCATTCATATACTGTACTTGAATTTACATGAAGTATCAAGATGGGAGTTGTTTATTATTTTAAGAAAATCTGCAATTTTTATTAGTTTAAAAGAAAATTAAAGATCACACTTCTAGCTCAGTTGTTTTTTATTAAAATGGAGTTCAGTAAATGAGAACTGCATTTATTTACAAGTTATAAATCTTACATACTAATTATAATAATCAAATATAGCTTATTAATACAAATTTTTATATGCTTTTAATAAATGACTGTTTTTTTAACTTAAAATCAATAATATAATAATAACAGTATTTAAAAAAAAATACATCCATTAATGGAAAATGTTAACTCAATAATTAGCACCAACTGGTGTTGTTATTAAAACAAGAATTATCATGGATAAAATTCTTGACCAAGGAAAGATAAACAAATCAGCATTCTAAAAGAAAAATAATAACCATTTAACTGCAAAGCTTATGAAGAGTGAATGTTATTTACTATATCTTACAAGACCAGTCTCAATTACATGATCACTTACATAAGGAATGTCCACAATACACGTAATATTATCATCTGTTTCAACTTAGTCTATATTTTATTTTCTTGAGGAAATATTCTCAATAGTTTTTGAATTACTTCACTATACCATTGTTGAGAGTCAATTCTTGATAGCATACACTTGTAGTGACTTAGGTATATTGAATTATATCAGTATTTGTGGGGTATGAATTGAGGACTTTACAAAACAAAAGATGTATATAGATGGAATTAAATTTAATATTATTAAAAACATGACAAATCAGCTAAAAAATCCCAAGCGATGTTCTTGTGAGATTAGCCGAGGGTACCACTTAAACGACTCAGAATCGCGAGATTCGATCTCTAAACTTTTTCTAGGAGGGCTGTTAATGTTTAAACGATCCAGAGGATTAATTCTAGATCTAGTCAGGATTCCTTGACACCAGTTAATCAGTTATTTTAAACGTGAATTAACGCGCGTTATCCTTAAACTCGGGATTCAGAGGAACTAAGGAAACTTGAATGAAAATGAATGTCTAATAAGAACCAAGTTATTTTATAGAACAAATCAAAACATTTAATGAATCAACTAATAAAATATACAAGGAATGAATATAATCTAACTTAATCTATCATATTCCAAACCTGACATGTGTGAGAGTTTACATCGATCTATCAGAGCTTATATTACCGTCACCGTATCTGTTTGTGTGAAGATCTTCATCATCCTTCTTTAAGTATTTCTCCTCTTCTATTTTTTATGGGAAGTTCTTTTAAATCTACTTTCCTTTCAACAATCTTGGCATATGCTATATCTTTAACGTTTTCGTATGTTGACTTCTTAGGATGCACAGTCTGTCGTATCTCAAATTCCTACATATGGCAATACCTTCTTCAGAGGACTGTGTATGTTGGACTTCTTGTGTGGCAATACCTCGTTTCGATGGACTGCCTTGAATGGCGGGAAAATGTCCCTGTTATCTGGTCTTCAGTAACATGTGCAAAAACTCGACTCATCATGAGTTGGCCTGGGAAAGGAAATCAACTTCCTTTTAAAAATATGATATTTCCTCCGTTTTAGATAAAATCTTGTTGAAGTTTAAAATTTTATTTTCTATTATTTTAAATCTTTTCTCCAACTTATTACTTTGATTAAAATGATCCTCCTCTGAACGTTCAGATCTCACATTCTTATCATTGTAATCTTGATCTTATCCACTACTTACATAGGCAATTCTAAGTCAGATATTAATAATAATAATATGTGATTATTCTTAATATATATATATACAAATATTTGAGTTGGTATACCAGGTTGTTGCATTCTCTTAATACAATTATATAACGGGTTTCGATGTCTTTTGTTAGCCAACATATGGTTGTCACTTCTTTTAACGAACAAGTAAATAAACTGCAGAATCAGTGAAATAAATGTCTCAATAAGTAAACCCGATACTTAAATATATTCTAACTTAAGTTACTTGTCAATAGAAATAAAATCTACTCGATTGGTTTGGATTGTCCATTGCACACAGTGGTCTAATATCCTATCTCTCCTATTGTATCATTACCATGGTCTTCCTCACCTTTCTGTTCAGGTAGGGGCTTGAGAGTCCGGTCCAGTCTGGAGATGAATTCCAAAAAAAAGGTGCTCTGCCATGTAGGGCATGCACTTTTATAATTTCCACCATCTGGGAACTTCTCCACTTATGTGATCCTCTCTTGACCAATCCACAGTCATGATTGCTGTGACTCCAAAAGATGATACAGAATGCACAACATTACATTACACGTAACAATAAAAAAACCGATACAATATTCTTTAATAAACATAACACAATTACATAATTTTACAAACTTAATACAATTAAAATAACTATAGTAGCAGAGCACTACACACTACACAGCTTGAAATAGAAGTCATAAACTTTGAAATTGTCCAAAAGTAATTATTTTGGTGTTTCCATGATCTACAAAAAAACACTTGAAGTTTACCATCAAGAATTTTGAGAGAAATTGCCTCAACCATTAACTGCCTCTCAAATACCTGACTAAACATACTTTGCCATACTGAGGGATAATTAAATTTCTGACTCATACAATATTATGATATAGCAGTATTTGAAATCCACTGATTCAGAAATGCAAGTGTGGTCAGCAAGTTGACAAAATATCATTCTGGATGGACAATACTAGTAACTACTACATCTATCTCACCAACTGTGTGTGTTTACAATCATTATTAGAATATTTTATTTTTTGTTTATTCAATATCTACTGGATGTATAGACACTTGGCAATTTTCATTATCAACTTTTTATTCCAGAACTTTATTTGCCAAGACGCATTTTGGGCCTTAGCCCCTCTTTGGTCGGCATTACATCTCGGAGTAACACATAATATGACAATCGAAAATACATCTGGTTCCATTAAAGTATTTTTTCAGATAGTCTATATTGTATCCATACACCAGACATCTCTGAGGTACTTTCTGCATTACAACCATCGTTCTTCTTGCTATCTTGTATGTTATGGTTGCTGGTGTTTATTCCATAACTATATATTCGGTTGAATGTCTGTAGACTGCACAGTAGACTTCAGGAATATTTTTAGTTACAAGTTGTTAGGATACAAGAATATTTTTAGTTACGTTTTTATCATCATCATTTCTAATGAGTTTATCATTAATTTTTTCATTTTCACTTGATATTAATTTTTCATAAATTCATGTAAAGAAATACCTTCTGAATTTAGTAATTTCACAATATAGTTTTCATCATCAATTACCTTCAATGTCCATGTTTCTTCATAAAGACAATATTGAACATTAAATGTTGATAATATTGACAGAAGGCCTTCAATTGCCACTTCTACATAATAAATACAATTTTTAAAGAACTGCTCAGGAATTGGTCTCAAATATTTACAATTTTATCATTGTTTCCAAAATCCACAAAATGTACAATGAAAGTTGTTAAAGATGTAGAACTTATTACCGTATACTATGTAGAACTCTATACCATAAACTATAATCTTTGAGCTTTGCACATATTACTATATTAATTTTAGACACATAGGATGTAATTTGATTATTCTCACAAAAATAAGAAATTTCATTTAATAAGTTGGCAGTTTTCATTTGAAGATGAAATGGTTGAACAAATAACTTGCATAAATTTACTATTGAACAAATTTTAACTTTGCAGTTATCAATATCAGATAATGGCAATTTTTTCATATCTTCATAAGTGCTACAAATTTTAATGTGTCAAATCTTCTACTGGTTTTGCTATTGATTGAATACTTTTCTGATAACAGTTAACTGAAGTCAATTGTGAAGGTAAAAGATCATGATGCCAAGGAAATGCTATAACATTGCATAAAAATTTATTTTCTCCATCTAAAAGAGTAATATGTATTTTGTTTGGATCTGCATATTTTACTTTGCCGAGTAAAGATTTACAAATGACTAGCACCTCCTTTATCTTTAGAAGATTCTGCTGAATATATTGATATTGTACAATATACCAAAGGTGAAATAACTTTTTTTAAAATTCTGCCTTTAAATTTATAGTAACGAAGAAGTGATTATACTATTAATAATCAACATATTTAACTCTGAAATTGCCATTTTGTTGATTTAAAATATCCACTACCCTACAGTAATGGACCGAACAGCAAGATGTGATGGCATAAGGTAAAGAATGCATACTTTAATAGGGGCAGGGTCCCCCCATGCTGCAGTTACAATTCAATTTTATTGCTGTACAAAAAGTTCACCACCAGAGTATAGTAATAATAAAAGATATATCTATTGTATAGTCCATTTATTTATAACACAAAATTAGTATACATAAGTATGCATTGTGGATTATAATAAAAGTAATACAAAATAAGGTTAGCGATTAACATAAGTGAGATGTAGGTTATACAAAGTAAATATTGCTTTATAAAGAAAATAAGTAGAATTAATATACAACAGTTGTAGAATAAAATATAATTACAATAAATAAAGATCTACATGATGGTAATATGTATACAATGCAAGAAATTGAATTTATGCACAATACTGAACAAAACATGAACGATATGTTGCCGGGAAATTGATACAAAAAAAGCCCATCAGGGCAGAGATGATGATATAAAATAAGAGGTATATGTGAGGTTACGAGGGCACAGAGTCGGTTCCCTAATTGCCACTTACATGTCAAGATGGTAAAACTTGCCTATGTTGTGGTTTGGATGGCTTTTATCGAGCGGCGAGGGAGGTGAGCAAGTTGCCAGGCGTCCTTTCAGAGAGAGATTTAACAAAATAACAAATCATTTATTATACAGCTAACACTAAAATACAGGAGGCTACAGAGTTAAATGCGTATATATCTAGGTTATATAGGCTAGATACAATTAACATAAGATTGCAAAGTCTATGATAGACAACTGCTTAGTTTATTCTATGACAGCTATGCATACTTCTGTTACAAGAGAGAGAGTTCACAGTCCGCTGATAAACTCTAAAGTTGGAGGAGTCCTATATGGTGATGACAGTTTTTTATGGAAGTGTTGTCAATGTCTTCTACCGCTGTTTTCTCTGGGGACTAGGTTGAGTCCGTTTCATGGAGGAGTGGGAGACAGGGAATCATTAAGACCAATTATA